CCCCAAAACCCCAAAACCCCAAAACCCCTTTATGATGTGGATGTATTGAATTATTTTATTTTAGATTCTTTAATCTCGTATGCCCAATCTTTGGTAAATTATCAAGATTATACTCTGTCACATTCAAGTTTATCTTATGCATATTCTTTGGAGAGGACAAGACAGACTTACTAACTCTTCTATTTGCTCTGAACTTGCTAGCCTTTCCTCTGGTCTGTTTGACATCTACTATCAATTAAAAACCAAACCACAATCCTCAAACCATAATTACCTACTTCAATTAGGGATGGTCTTTATCTTGACTCCTTGTTTGGTCTCTTCATTTTGGGAGGTGTTCATTCCTCTTTCTGCAGACTTTACATTCTAAAATAGTGAAGCCATATTACTCTATGGGTGGCCTGGACTTGGCTGTAGCATTTCTCAAAAATCTGAGCAAGGTTTAGATCCCGAGATTCAAAGACTTTCTCAACATGTAGAGTGTTGAGCAGACCTAGAATTGTAAATTAGGACAATTGGACAAGAAGAGATAACATTTTTAAGTATTCCAGAGGAATCGAAAGCCAAAATTTAATGAAGTAATTATCTTCCTAGTTTGAAATTTGTGTTTATTATGGAACTTGCAGTTCGAGAGAAATTTCTGTACTTAGAGCTTATTTAGAATGAGGGTATGTATTTATCGTTATTTTTAATCAGAGAGGCTGTTTTAAAGCTTTCAGTTTGGTGGGGAAAAGAAACGGTAAAAGGAGTATATTGATTTCACCAAAGAAAATAGTGGGAAAACACTTAGGATTTATGAATAATAGTATGCTCTACTTTTGGGTTTGACCTAGATATCCCTTTATAAGAAGAGGATCTATTTCGCTGAAGATCCTTGCTCCTACTATGTTGTATAGATTCATATTGTGTATATAAATGTGTTATGTTTGTATTTGTATACTGCTCTCCTTATCTACTTAATCACTATTCTATTATTTCAACAAAGTTCAGAATATCAAAATAAAACTCTTTTAAGGTCGCTATCAATCTAGCTTAGTTTAGCTCTATACATTGCTAGTATTTCGTAGAGATATCACACATAAGCTGTAAAGAGAGTATGACTCAGAATGGAGGATATTTCCCTAAACATCCATGCTCTATTTGTTTTTAACGCATTCTTTTCTTGATCTGCAAGAATTGTTTATAATATCTGTTTCCTTAAGCCTAGTACTCCAGGCACTGAGATAGATGATTATAAACAGCTAGGAAGGTAAGTTTTCCCCCATAAAAACTTAACTTGCATTTAATACTAGACAACTAGTGCTCAGGAGCTGGAATTATGGCTTTATGATTTCTTTACTAACCGAGCAAATGTTTAAGTATAAATGAGGCTTTAGAAGCAAAAAACGGCTTCTTTGCTTCATGGGCAAGTCCTTTAGCCTTTGGCTCTCTTCTGCCCTTCTTTGCTAGGTTCAGTATCTTTAAACTCAGAGACAAGATTGTTTGAGCATGAATAAGCCTGATTTCTAAAATCTAATAATATCTATGAATGAGATTTGCTTGAAGTAGCTTTTCACCTCTTAGAGCTACTTAGGCCTTCTTTAATATTGAGTAGTTGATAGAAACAATGAAAAAGGAAAAAAGATTGATAATACATCTACATCTCACAGAACACCACTAAACTCTTGAACTGTGCTGGAAGTATCCTTTTGATTTCTTTTCATTTACTCTATTACTGAAACAACAGTTGGTTTATAAAGAATTTCCAGTACTAATATCTTTCAAGACTTGGACCTTATTTTACTCTTATCTTTTAGTATATATTACCAGAATATCTAGAGATTATAACTAAATAAACTCTCTTTTGTTTATTCGAAAAGCTACTTAATTAGGTCTTATTCCTAGTTGGCTTCACCACAAAACCCAAATTTCTTGATTTGAAAATGACCTTTCAATTCTTTAGGCTAGGTTTGGCCTCATTTTTAAATTAGGATAATACTGGTATAAGGACATACCTGCCATCATAACCTCCTTCATTTTGGTAATCTGAGCTCCTCCTAACTGAAAATCGCGGTAAACAAATGGCAAATTGTACATAGAAGCATTCTGATAGTTATTCTCCAAGTTTAATTGGCCTTTATTACGTGTGGAGCTAGAGAATAAATATAACAATTACCCTTTGTTTGTCATAAATTTATTCATTGTAATCTCCTTATTGTCTGAAATCGATGGGAACCTATCTTGGCTTACATTGATGCTATTTGAGTATATCTGGTCCTTATCATTATAGTATTCGTGTACTTCGAGATCATTCTTGAATTTAAGATATTCAAGTAGCCTCGCACAGAAAAATACAATGCTGCTAATGTCTTCATCTGTTAGAGAAATTCTAGTATTTAGCTTATCGATATCTGTTGTGAAAGAGTTATTTTAAAATCATCAAATCACTCTTGTCACGTTTAAATCTCTTTGTCAGATGTCTGAACTCTTCAAGAGAGGAATTTATCTCATTCATGTTCTTTTCAAATGTGGATGAGAGTTCTGATACAGAAGATTTTCTCTCCTGAATCTCTTGTTGGAGATACTGGTATACTTCTGACAACTGAGTATCATTAATAATCTCCTGAAGAGCCTCATTAATAGTTTCTACAAAGGTTAATTTATCTTATTACCTGTGATTTTAATGAACTTTGTATCGAGGTTTTGAATTTGGTTCTTTAGACTTGTTAATTTCTCATCTAGATATTTTCGATCAGACTCAATAATCCTCTCTCTTTCTTCATCAGAGTCGGAATATTCTTCACTTTCGCCTTGCTCTGATTCTTCGATCATGTTATCTGAGATATTAGAAATTCTATCAGAATCCTGTATGTCGGCACTATCATGTTCATCGCTGGGAGTTTCAGGTTGGCTTTGTCTGATTGACCTCTTTTTACGCCTTTTAGGAGAAGCAGTTCTTGATAGTTGAGTTAAGAAGTCATCATCACTATTATCACTCTCAATATCAGCAGCTAGATTATTTGTAACATCTTGGTTATCTTGCAATGAATTATTCTGTATTTCTTTCTGGGACTCAGGAATATAGTGTTTTCTGTTTGCCTTGCTTGGTGAGTCTTGGCTAACTCGTGAAGAGTCACGGCTTGGTGCTGAAATAATTGGGGGTTTATATTCTCTTTCTGATGGTATATCTTCATCCTTATCCTTCTCAATTTTAACTTTCTCAGGTAAGGTATTAATTTTGTGAGATAAAACTTCAGTGCTTCTCTTTACTTTTAAAGGACCCTAAAGGATTATTGGAGATACTCTTACTCTACTTTTGTTATGTTCATTCATTTTATTACCGCTTGAGTTTTGGATAGTATCTGCAGAAGCATTCTTACATGAGCCATGATCTGAAGGATCCTTTCTCTCTCTTTCTAAATTATCAGCAATGTTTAGATCTGGCATTGTATTTAGATGGACAGAAGCCTCTTTTATTAATTTAGCTTTTCTTTTTGGTGTTTCAACAACTTGTTGAAAATCATTCTTAGGAGTTTGATCTTCTTGATTAATATATTGCTCGTTTTCTTTAGAATTTTCTTCGAAATTTTTATTCTCTTCAATAGATTGAGTCTGATCCTTATTCTCTTCATCAGGAAGTTGTTGGTGCTTGCTTTCTGGTTGTTCGGGCTCACTTTCTCCACCTTCATTATCTAAATCATCTTCTTCATTGTAAATTGAAGGTGCTTTATCGATAAATTCTTTCTGTTTAAAATGTTCCTCAGATTGAGTTAGTGGTGGTTGAGGTAGAATATCAATATTCTTTTTAGTTGATTCCTGCTTTCCTTCTCATTTAGGAGATTCGTCCTTGATGGTATCTAATTTTGATGGTTTATCAGGGGATAAATTAATCTTATTATTTGTTTTGACTCTTGACTTTTTAAGACTCTTAGAGTTTTTAATATTCTTTGAATTGAGATTAAGCTTTAGCTTATTTTTTATTTTCTTCGACCCTTCTTGACTGCTATGTCTGATCTCTTTATTCTTCAATTCTTCTTTCCTATCAGGAGATTTTAAATTTCCTGATTTAGGTACTGCAAAAGAGTTCATTTTATTTGGAATCTTGTGAATCTTTAAGCTTCTTTTTGTCTTTATTTGTGCTTATGAAAACTTTTATCGGTCTTGCCCATAATATTGTTGTCTCCGCTGTAGAATGATGCCCGACTGTTAGACATTATATCTTGCTTATACTCAAATTTATCTCTACCTGTAGCCCTAGCCATCCTGTTAAGCTTCTCTTCAATATTCGCTTCCTTCTCAGAAGCAAGGTTGGTGGTAAGCTTTTGAAGCTTGGATTGAAGCATATTGTTGAGTTTATTCCTTTTCTTTGATGATAAAACAGGAGCCATAGTACCTGAAATAGTAGACTGGATCTTCATCGGCATGTACTTATCCAAATATTCTTCAAGGTAATAAATCTTCTGGTTATTATCCTTGATAAGATTTTCTAGCATTGAGTGGCTATTATCAAATTCGTTTGATAATTTATCGATTTGTGTATCGAATTTAGAGGTGTCGAAGTTTTTATTTGATTTTCTCAGCAAGTTCTTTTTGGAAGGCTTGTGAGTCAGATAGATTTACATGATATTTATCCATAGTTTTCTGTATATTTTCGATAATCGATTTTATATCAGTCATTCCTAGTTTAAATTCGTCAATTCTAGTATTCAAATCTGTTGTAGAATTTGAAATTTCTTCCGAGATTTTCAAAATTTGTTCATGGCTTGAATCTTTGAGATCAAAGAAATGCTCATTTAGAGTACTTATTTCGCCATTGTTCTTCTCAAGAGTTGCTTGGAAAGTCCTAGAAAGTTCACTTGTAAAGGATCACATGTTATTTAATCTCAGCTATCTCTGCCCGGACACTCTGCATATCATGTTTGGTCTGTTCTATAGAAATCTGAGTCTCCGTTCTTAGTTCATTAATTCTTTTATCTAAGTTGATAAACTCAACAGTGCCAGTTTCGAGTCTTTTGATTCTAAACTCCGAATCTTGAAATTTGTCCCTAAGTTCATCATGGTATTGCTCTAAGATTTTACAGTGGTCTGAGTTTTCGTCATTAGACTGAATTACTGGATCAAGCATCTCCTGTATAACTTTCCTCATTCTTGTTTCAAAGTGGAACCAGTCAACCTTATTGTCTCTTCCTTTCTTGACTGGCGAGGTTGCATCATGGTCATCTCCGAATATACTCATTTTAATTTATAAAAATAAAGGGGTTTTGGGGTTTTGGGGTTTTGGGG